GTCACCAGAGGCCACAGTTTGCTGTGTGTCCCAGGTGCCAGTTTGCTTGTGGTCACAGAGTGCACAGTTTGCGGTGTGTCCCAGAGTGCCACAGTTTGCTGTGTGTGTCACCAGGTGCCACAGTTGCTTGTGTGTCACAGAGTGCCACAGTTTGCTGTGTGTGTCACCAGAGTGACAGTTTGCTGTTTTGTTTTCACCAGAGTGCCACAGTTTGCTGTGTGTCACCAGAGTGCCACAGTTTGTGTGTGTGTCACCAGAGTGCCACAGTTTGCTGTGTGTGTCACCAGAGTGCCACAGTTTTGCTGTGTGTGTCACCAGAGTGCCACAGTTTGCGTGTGTTCACCAGAGTGCCACAGTTTGGCTGTGTGTACCCAGAGTGCCACAGTTTGCTGGTGTGTCACCAGAGTGCCACAGTTTGCTGTTGTGTCACCCGGTGCCACAGTTGCTGTGCTGTGGGCACCAGAGTGCCACAGTTTGCTGTGGTGTCACCGAGTGCCACAGTTTGCTGTGTGTGTCACCAGAGTTGCCACAGTTTGCGTGTGTGTCACCAGAGTGCCACAGTTTGCTGGTGTGTGTCACCAGAGTGCCACAGTTTGCTGTGTGTGTCACCAGAGTGCCACAGTTTGCTGTGTGTGTCACCAGAGTGCCCAGTTTGCGTGTGTGTCACCAGAGTGCCACAGTTTGCTGTGTGTGTCACCAGAGTGCCACAGTTTGCTGTGTGTGTCACCAGAGTGCCACAGTTTGCTGTGTTTTGTCACCAGAGGGGCCACAGTTTGCTGGTGTGGTCCAAAAGAGTGGGCCCCAGTTTGCTGTGTGTGTCACCAGAGTGCCACAGTTTGCTGTGTGTGTCCCAGAGTGCCACAGTTTGCTGTGTGTGTCCCCCAGAGTGCCACAGTTGCTGTGTGTGTCACCAGAGTGCCACAGTTGCTGTGTCCCAGAGTGCCACAGTTTGCTGTGTGTGTCACCAGAGTGCCACCAGGTTTGCTGGTGTGTCACCAGAGTGCCAACAGTTGCTTTTGTCCAGGTGCCACGTTGCTGTGTGTCACCAGAGTGCACAGTTGCGTGTGTCACCAGGTGCCCAGTTTGGTGTGTCACCGAGGCCCGTTGCGGGTGTGTCACCAGAGTGCCCCCCGTTGTGTGGAGTGTTGTGTCACAGAGTTTCCACAGTTTGCTTGTGTCACCAGAGTGCCACAGTTTGCTTTGTGTGTCACCAGAGTGCACGTTTGCTGTGTGTGTCAACCAGAGTGCCCCCGTTTGCTTGTTGTGTCACCAGAGTGCCACAGTTTGGGTGTGTGTGTCACCAGAGTGCCACGTTTGCTGTGTGGTCACCAGAGTGCCACAGTTTTGCTGTTTGTGTCACCAGGGGTGCCACAGTTTGCTGTGTGTTGTCACCAGAGTGCCACGTTTGCTGTGTGTGTCACCAGAGTGCCACAGTTTGCTGTGTGTGTCCAGGGGTGCCACAGTTTGCTGTGTGGTCACCCAGAGTGCCACAGTTTGCTGTGTGTGTCACCAGAGTGCCACAGTTTGCTGTGTGTGTCACCAGAGTGCCACAGTTTGCTGTGTGTGTCACCAGAGTGCCACAGTTTGCTGTGTGTGTCACCAGAGTGCCACAGTTTGCTGTGTGTGTCACCAGAGTGCCACAGTTTGCTGTGTGTGTCACCAGAGTGCCACAGTTTGCTGTGTGTGTCACCAGAGTGCCACAGTTTGCTGTGTGTGTCACCAGAGTGCCACAGTTTGCTGTGTCACCAGAGTACCACAGTTTGCTGTGTGGTCACCAGAGTGCCACAGTTTGCATGGTGGTCACCAGAGTGCCACAGTTTGCTGGTGGTCACCAGAGTGCCACAGTTTGCTGTGTCACCAGAGTGCCACAGTTCTGCTGTGTCACCAGAGTGCCCAGTTGCTGCGTGGTCACCAGAGTGCCACAGTTTGCTGGTGGTCACCAGAGTGCCACAGTTTGCTGGTGGTCACCAGAGTGCCACAGTTTGCTGCTGTGTCACCAGAGTGCCTCAGTTTGCTGGTGGTCACCAGAGTGCCACAGTTTGCTGTGTGTCACCAGAGTGCCACAGTTTGCTGTGTGTCACCAGAGTGCCACAGTTTGCTGTGTGTCACCAGAGTGCCACAGTTTGCTGTGTGTCACCAGAGTGCCACAGTTTGCTGTGTGTGTCACCAGAGTGCCACAGTTTGCTGTGTGTGTCACCAGAGTGCCACAGTTTGCTGTGTGTGTCACCAGAGTGCCACAGTTTGCTGTGTGTCACCAGAGTGCCACAGTTTGCTGTGTGTGTCACCAGAGTGCCACAGTTTGCTGTGTGTGTCACCAGAGTGCCACAGTTTGCTGTGTGTGTCACCAGAGTGCCACAGTTTGCTGTGTGTGTCACCAGAGTGCCACAGTTTGCTGTGTGTGTCACCAGAGTGCCGCAGTTTGCTGCGTGTGTCACCAGAGTGCCGCCAGTTTGCCTGCGTGTGTCACCAGAGTGCCGCAGTTTGCTGCGTGTGTCACCAGAGTGCCGCAGTTTGCTGCGTGTGTCACCAGAGTGTCGCAGTTTGCTGCGTGTGTCACCAGAGTGCCGCAGTTTGCTGCGTGTGTCACCAGAGTTCCACAGTTTGCTGTGTCACCAGAGTGTCACAGTTTGCTGCGTCACCAGAGTGCCACGGTTTGCTGTGTGTCACCATAGTGCCACAGTTTGCTGTCACCAGAGTGCCACAGTTTGCTGCGTGTGTCACCAGAGTGCCGCAGTTTGCTGCGTGTGTCACCAGAGTGCCGCAGTTTGCTGCGTGTGTCACCAGAGTGCCACAGTTTGCTGCGTGTGTCACCAGAGTGCCACAGTTTGCTGCGTGTGTCACCAGAGTGCCACAGTTTGCTGCGTGTGTCACCAGAGTGCCACAGTTTTGCTGGTGTTCACCAGAGTGCCACAGTTTGCTGCGTGTGTCACCAGAGTTCCACAGTTTGCTGTGTCACCAGAGTGTCACAGTTTGCTGCGTCACCAGAGTGCCACGGTTTGCTGTGTGTCACCATAGTGCCACAGTTTGCTGTGCACCAGAGTGCCACAGTTTGCTGGTGTGTCACCAGAGTGCCGCAGTTTGCTGCGTGTGTCACCAGAGTGCCGCAGTTTGCGGTGTGTCACCAGAATGCCGCAGTTTGCTGCGTGTGTCACACAGAGTGCCACAGTTTGCTGCGTGTGTCACCAGAGTGCCCAGTTTGCTGTGTACGTAGTGCACAGCTGTCACAGAGTGCCACAGTTTGCTGCGTGTGTCACCAGAGTGCCACAGTTTGCGTGTGTGCACCAGAGTGCCACAGTTTGCTGTGGTGTCACCAGAGTGCCACAGTTTGCTGTGTGTCACCAGA